CATCCTGGTACCCATTTGAGGCTGGGTCGACCTGCGACGTCCCATACCACGATAAAAATCCACGCAGCCCGCAGTGGGTTTCGATCGCGGACTCGCAACGCCTTAGCCACGGACGCCGCTAGAATCGACCTACTGGACCCCTAAAAGGGATATCATAAAAAGCAACTCATTAGGAGTGTCTCCTCTGAAGACGGGGTGCCTCTGCCAGATAGGTAAAGAACCAACAGGATGTACACGCATAAAGGAGGAAGTACTGGGGCCGGATAAAGTCCAAAAGTGGACGAACAACCATAACTTTTAGCAGGCGTTTACAGCCGCTGAATGCGAATAAGACGAAAAAGAATATATGACGACTCTCGCTCTATGCCCCATTAAAAAAATGGGATTAAAAAGAAAAAAAAAAAAAAAATCGCCAGTAACAAGACCTTGGAGAAAAACCTCCATATAAATCCAAGTGTCAACACAAAAGAAACATCGACAACAACTAGTAACTGAGTGTCCAAATAACGAAGTGATGGTTAACTCTGTGTTGTCTTGATGATACTTGCTATTTCTGGTCTGATGCTGGATAAGGCACAATGGCGATCACTCTCCGCACCAAGCTCGCAGCGCTGATCTTTTTCATGACTGTTAAAATTTTATTTGTTATTAAACTAGTTACTTGGCGCCTTCTATGTCTGTTGTTTGTTTGTTCTAGTATCCAGAAGCCATGAGTTGTTAACCCTTAGGCTCGGTATTATGGATTTCGCAACCTTTCAACATTGATTCCATTGTAAATACCGTAAATCTGGGAGAAAATGTGGCTTTCCTGCCTACCCCCGGGATTGAACCCGGACCACAAGGAGTTCGTCACCCGGTCTCAGCGCAATCAGGTTTAGCCAACTACGCTAGAGAGCCGGGCACGGCGCCCTCTATGAAACTACATTGCGATCCCAATCTGAGCGCGTGTTTGCACAAAGTTCGGTTTAATTGCACATCAAGTCGAATTTGACATAATTAACACCACTTGAAGACATGAAGATCAATGTATACAATGCATTAGAAAAAGAAAACAAATTGACATCTTCCCCTAAGGTTTCGCTGAAGTAAATGGAAAAGGCTTGTTATACGGAAGTAAGTCATGGACAGTTGATCAGTTAGTAAAACCTTATCTGGAAACTGCGAACATGTGGTTTTATAGACGAATGATGAGAATACACTGGATAGATTAAATAGAGTAATGAAGATGTCTTGAAAGAAACAGACTCACTAAGAGAACTGACTGCCAGCGTCAGAAAGAGACAATCTTTAGGCATGTGATGAGAAGGAGAAAACTGGAGTACATCGTGACAGTAGGAAAGTTGAAGGGGAGGAGAGGCAGAGGAAGACCAAGAGAAAAGACGCTAGACAGTCTGATATCATAGCATGTTGTAGTAGTAGTAGATTTTTACCCCACCAGAACATCACACAAGCGATAAACACCCGATGACACAAAGTGCCACCATGCGGATGAGCATCACCCGTGGAGAGGTCCCGTGTTCGGCCATTAGGCCATATTTATGGTTGGGTTATATTCTGGCCCTTGACAAGAGCCAGGGTGGGGCTTCAAAATAACGAAAAATTGCATCGCACTAGGGCATAACAAGTTACATCATCTGTGTCAGAGCTGATTGAAATTACACAAGACAAAAGGTTATGGACAGACATGTCTACCAACGCCACACGGCCTGGACTTTAGGAAGAAAAAGAAGAAATAGAGAAGAAAAAAGAAGAAGAAAGAGAATAAGAGGAAGCAGAACAAAAACCACGTTATTTATGACCTAAATAAACTAGTATACAAACAAGTTACATTTCTGCACATTTCAAAAAGATTAGAAAGTTGAGATTACCTCCCCCCATCCCTTGGTTGAAATGAGTTGTCTCCACATGACACTGAACATCCCCTGACCAATCCCGTTGCGAGTGTCCAGGTTGCCGCCAACAACGACCGTGTCCTTGTGTGTGAGTGGACATTCTACGTACTGACCAATGCTCATGGAACTGATCTCCACAGATCTGCCTGGGCTGTGAAGCAAAAAAGTAAAATTTGTCTTTACCACCAATGGGCTGCGTGGTTTCGAGGCATGGTGTCAGCCTCCAGTGCTAGAGGTTGTGGGTTCAATACCCAGCAAGCGGTATGATTTTTTTTTTTCACGTAGACTTGGACTTCTAGTAATTCACACTGGTCTCTGGGCAGTGAGATCGGACGCCTGTGTTGCGCACGGGAGTTGGAAATCGAAAAGAGTAGCCAAACGGGGCTGCCCTGGTAACATTTGGAGTTAAAAATTTAACCTAAGTATTTTAGGATCCTCGCCGGTGCTTCAGAGCCTGAGCATTGTGCTGAGCTTCTTCGGACTCAGACTTGAGTTAGAAGAAAAATGGAGCACTTATGGGTTACTACCAGTGTGCTATGATGATCCGTTGTTCAAAACTTCAAACCTATCTTTACCACCAATGCTACTCGCCGCAGTGTAACTGACCACACACCTTTCTTACTATCTACAGACAAGTACTGACCAACTGACCACACACCTTTCTTACTATCTACAGACAAGTACTGACCAACTGACCACACACCTTTCTTACTATCTACAGACAAGTACTGACCAACTGACCACACACTTTTCTTACTATCTACAGACAAGTACTGACCAACTGACCACACATTTTTCTTACTGTCTACAGACAAGTACTGACCAACTGACCACACACCTTTCTTACTATCTACAGACAAGTACTGACCAACTGACCACACACTTTTCTTACTATCTACAGACAAATACTGACCAACTGACCACACATTTTTCTTACTATCTACAGACATGTACTGACCAACTGACCACACACTTTTCTTACTATCTACAGACAAGTACTAACCAACTGACCACACATTTTTCTTACTGTCTACAGACAAGTACTGACTAACTGACCACACACCTTTCTTACTATCTACAGACATGTACTGACCAACTGACCACACACTTTTCTCATTATCTACAGACAAGTAATGACCAACTGACCACACACTTTTCTTACTATCTATAGACAAGTAATAACCAACCAAATACACAACTTTCTTACTATCTACAGAGAAGTAGTGACCAACTGACCACACACTTTTCTTATTATCTACAGACAAGTACTGACCAACTGACCACCTCACTATCTACAGACAAGTACTAACCAACTGACCACACAACTTTCTTACTATCTACAGACAAGTAGTGACCAACTGACTACACACCTTTCTTACTATCTACAGACAAGTACTGACCAACTGACCACACACCTTTCTTACTATCTACAGACAAGTACTTATTAACTGACCACACACTTTTCTTACTATCTACAGACAAGTAGTGACCAACTGACCACACACCTTTCTTACTATCTACAGAAAAGTACTTACAACTGACCACACACCTTTTTGTCTAGACAAGTACTGACCAACTGACCACACACCTTTTTGTCTACAGACTAATACTGACCTACTGACCACACAACTTTCTCTCTACAGACAAGTAGTGACCAACTGACCACTTACTGGTAATCAGGTACATTGTCGTTGTCTCGGACATCAAATATTTCTGTGGCGTTGAGTGCGACAGAGATGGTTCCCTGAAACATTCCATCGGTCAGTCAGTCAGACAGTCCATCGGTCAGTCAGACAGACAGTCCATAGGTCAGTCAAACAGTCCATCGGTCAGTCAGTCAGACAGCGACTATATTTTACAAAACCCGGACAGATGATGCTACTTTCTCATAATGAGTACTAATCAGTTTCAAAATAGCACAATCACGAAACGACAGAATAACGTTTCGGCTTAAAGCGTTCATCAGCATACGACACAAACGGACAATGATACAATACAAGCTGGATTACACATCTTGATCTGTCTGTACTGACAGCCATCGTGGTGCAGCGGCCAGACTCTCGCCCGCGGATTGGAAGATCGGTCAGAAATGACCTTGGCTCTCAGGTCGACTCAGCCTTGAGTGTTGTCAGGTACAGTTCTGGGAAGTAAAGGTGACCGGCGTGATGATGACCACATCACTCATCCGATCAGTCTATAAAATGTAGCTCTAGCCCTATATGCCCAATAATCTGAAAGCGAGGAAAAGGGTCCTTCCTTTACTGTTATTATTCTGAATGGTGGAGTCCTTCACACAATATTCATGACACGTTTCAACAGCAAAGGTTTTGACACACTGGTCGGTGTTTGAACTGTTACCGCTTAGGCTGTCGAGTAAGGTTCTGTTTCTTGCTCTGCTGGCTGCCTGGACCGTAGAGGTCTTGCTGATTAAGCCTATTTTTTGTAAGAGTGAGACTAGCTGTCGCAATACCTGGTTTGCTTCACTGAATTAAAAAAACACACACACTCAGGCACGCAATAGACACACAGAGAGAGAGAGAGAGAGAGAGAGAGAGAGAGAGAGAGAGAGAGAGAGAGAGAGAGAGAGAGAGAGAGAGAGAGAGAGAGAGAGAGAGAGAGAGAGAGAGAGAGAGAGAGTGGGAGAAACTGGATGCATCAGAAAAAAATCCACAGAAGCAGACATGACGTACAACAGAAGACACGCACAGAAAGAATGACCAGACACTGGACACAACTGACCCGTGGGTTGGTCCTCTGCTGCAGGCGCCTCTCCTCCTTGTCCTTCTGGATCCTCTCATACTCCGTGATGATCTCGGACGGAGTCTTTGTTCGGGCGATCACCTGGCGACACATGGTCAAAGTTACAGCCAACAACGGACCTCTCTTTATTCCAAAACGAGTATTGGGCTTAATGCACGTAGTGAGTTAAGAACTGATATCTTAGCAGTCTAGACATTCTCATAAGCGCTCCCTCTCTATCTCCAGCAGCAAGAGGGGACTTCCAGTTCCGATGGTACCAGCAAAAATCTGATTGTATGTCGGTCTGCCAGATTCTCTGGTCCCGCCTCGCTGTTCCACTGTCTCGCCTCGCTGCTCCACTGTCCCGCCTCACTGTTCCACTGTCCCGCCTCGCTGCTCCACTGTCCCGCCCCGCTGCTCCACTGTCCCGGCCCGCTGCTCCACTGTCCCGCCTCGCTGCTCCACTGTCCCGCCTCGCTGCTCCACTGTCCCGGCCCGCTGCTCCACTGTCCCGGCCCGCTGCTCCACTGTCCCGCCTCGCTGCTCCACTGTCCCGCCTCGCTGCTCCACTGTTCCACCTCGCTGCTCCACTGTCCCGGCTCGCTGCTCCACTGTCCGGCCTCGTTGCTCCACTGTCCCGCCTCGCTGCTCCACTGTCCCGGCGCGCTGCTCCACTGTCTTCAGCCCGCGATGATCTGTGTATGCTTCAGCGCTGCTTACTTGCTTCCAAAGAACTCTTACAACATCTAGCTTGTCAAGCATCAAATTACCACCAAGTGGTACGGAGTCAACTAATCTATCTGCACGTTCATTTTCAAGCACACAGGTATTCATGGAAAATAATCCAAAGCACGGAGCGTAGTTGTCTCCACCTTTCTCAACGTGCTCTGTGGGTCAGTTTCAGTCGTGTTGTGTGTTGGCATCGGGCTATCAGCCCTAGTATAGGTTTGAGTAGTGCAAACAGAATAAGGTTAGTTGCGAAGCCTTTACAGGACGTTGCAGATCCAACCCCAACAGCCCCTGGCTGTTATGTGGTTTTTCTAGGCAAATTTACAACCAGTAGTTTGCCATTGCTTTCTGGACGGCCGGCTTTCTTGATACCACTGTCGAAACCAACGCAAGGCGCATGGCCCGCAGCTGGGATCGAACCCGGCATTACGAAGCATTCGCATCGACTTAGCCACAGAGCCGACAAACAGAATAAACAATAAAATAAATAAATACAACTTGAAGATAATAATTTGCGACACCCCCTCACACATAGCAAACACCTGAATAGAAGAATGACCTACAGCGCCACCTGGGATGTTTTTAATTTTATTCCCTCTGTTATGCCCAGAGCGCAGGGACTGATCTAAAATGGCGGGAGGCCGCTTACGTTCAGAATTGCGTGTACTAATCCAGGGGCAAAGTCACATTTCGTCACTGACCGTTTGCGCCTGTAATGACCTTCACTTCTGACGTGGGGCCCTTGGTTTTGGCACATCCGGTAGTTTGCCTTCTGCACGTTTATTTTGCGTGTGCAAGCTTCAAGATTTTGCTGGGACTAAGTCATTGCCAAAACGAGACAGGGACATTTTGTGGGATTTCCCACTGTCTCGGGAACGGAACAGTATTGGGACCACCCGTCTACTAACGAATAACTAATGATCCGTCTGCCTTGACTTCCCCGGGTATTTTCTGGTACCTACTTTGGCTAGGTCGACCTCGGAATACACGCTACTAAATACTCCACTGGGAGCAATGTTATTTTCCTGTATCTTTCCCTGACTTATTCCCGCGTTTGAGACCCAAGTCTGCTGAGTTTTGTTGCTGTTGCTAAAATACTTAGAAAAGGTGAACATTACCTCCATGTCTTCGGTCTCTAGACCCTTCTCCCCGTACATGTCGTAAATGGTGCGTCTGGTCTTATCTCTCAGCACTGCAACACGCCAGATAACATTACAGATAACATCACAGATACCATTACAGACAACATCACAGATACCATCATAGATACCATCAAAGGACACATGACATATACCATCGCAGAAAACATTACACATAACATCACAGATACCACCACAGACAACATCACAGATACCATCTCATACCATCTCAGATACCATCACAGACAACATCACAGATAACATCACAGATACCATTACAGATAACATCACAGATACCATCACAGATACCATCAGAGAAAACATCGCAGATAACATCACAGACACCATCACAGATAACATCACAGGTAACATTTGAGATACCATCACAGAAAACATCGCAGATAACATCACAGATAACATCACAGATAACATCACAGATACCATCACAGATACCATTACAGATACCATCACAGGTAACATCACAGATACCATCACAGATACCATCACAGATACCATCACAGATACCATCACAGATACCATCACAGGTAACATCACAGATACCATTACAGATACCATCACAGATACCATCACAGATACCATCACAGAAACCATCACAGATACCGTCACAGATACCATCACAGATACCATCACAGGTAACATCACAGATACCATCACAGGTACCATCACAGGACACATCACATATACCATCGCAGAAAACATCACAGATAACATCACCGATACCATCACAGAAAACATTACATATAACATCAACAATATTATACCATTACATACACTATAACATAACAGATAACACAGAACATAACATCACCGATACCATCACAGAAAACATGACATATAACATCAACAATATTATACCATTACATACACTATAACATAACAGATAACACAGAACATAACATCACCGATACCATCACAGAAAACCACACACATATCATCACAGATACACAAGATATAATATAAACAATAATTTATCATCACATACATGATAACTTCACAGATAGCACACTTTATAACATCACAGAAAACTGCACACATAACGTAAACAATAATATACCATTTTATACATTATCACATTACAGGTAACATCAAAGGAAACATTACAGATAACATAACAGATAGCAGCACAGATAACATCACAGAAAATATCACAGATAACAAAATAAATAACATCACAGATAACATCACAGATAACATTACAGTTAACATCACAGATAACATAACAGATGACATCATAGATAACATCACATGAACATAAACGTTGCGAAATAATAAACAAAATAATAACACTGCCATAACTGCCTGTACTTAACGCTTCTGCGGCGTAGGCAGGGGATCTCTGAGACTGAGGATTAAGGGCCGCATGGCTAGTGCTGTCACCACGTACTATGCAGATGAAGATTTTATTTTTGCCCTGACAGAAAGAAATCCCATAGCCCTACTGAGGATTCGAACCCGCGTTTCCTGCAAAAAAAGCCCAGCGTCCTTTACCGTTCGACCAGCCACACCTCTTATTAACAATAATATACAATTTACGCTAACACGCACCAATACTTTAAAAATAACATAAACGATGATATACAACACATCATGACATACAATATAGCATCACATATTACATACAAAATAGAAAATGCACATAACGTACAATATAACCTTACATAGAAACAAAAAGTATACAATATACTAAAGTATACAATAGAACCAATAGCCAGTGGCAGCCAACGTGCAATGGATCGCAGATTATTCCTTCCCACGCCACTTAACGGCAAAAGTGGTTTATGTTGATGATGATACAAAAGAACATAGTTCTTTTTCTTTCTTCTCGTTCTTCCAGACGGTGGCTTTCTGATGAAAAAGCTACAGACCTCTATGAAGTCTATGGTACGACGCACATCTTCTAGTGCCCCAAACAGCTTGGTTTCCATTGGAATGCCAACCGGTAAAACCTGCGGTCTCTCTCCTGCGTGTCTGTAGCACATGATCGGTGTTCTGTGGTGCCTGAATCGCCATTCGCGAATTTCTTCTACATATGGCAACAGAGTCTGTTGTCTTCACAACCGGAAACTCTACTACAACCATAACAACAACAAATTCAATATTATCATCAACAAACACATCAACAACAATCGGAATAACAACAACAACGACAACGACAATAACAACAAATTCAGCATCATCAACAACAACAGAAACAAAACAACAACAAATTAATTCTCGACATTATCATTATCGTCATCATCATCGTCAACAGCAACGACAACAACATCATCGATAACAAACACAACAACATTTTCAACAATAACCACAACAACAACTAGAGCAACAACAGCAATCACAACAACAGTGGTGATACACTACCATCATGTGCCTTCCGGAGCTTGTTGAACACGTCCTCTGCTTTCTTCTTCTGCACCGGGTCGACATGTTTGTCTGGATGGTAGATCTTGCTGAGGTGACGGAACGCGTTGTTGATCTCGTCCACCGTAGCCTGGTAGGACATGCACACACAACTATTCACTGATTCCAGATAGGACACAAATAATCAACAGTTGATAGGATATTAACATACATTCCTACACAACGATCTGATGTGACATTACTGATACAATAACAGTCAACCACGGGTATCAACAAGTATAAGGTGGTACTAAACTGGGTGTTTTTTGGGAAGAAACGAACCGAAAAGCATCAAACAGGTGCTAAAATGGGAAATAGATGGATTTAGGAGACGATAGCGTGTAAGAGAAACCATAAAGCGAACGTTGATGAGAGAAGCCGAAGCTGCTAGACCGGATTCTATCCATGTTATGGAACTGTTTGTACAGAAAAGAACGGAGTGGAGGAATAGACTGAGTCCTATGTTGAACATGACGTCACAACTGGACAGTAAATAAATTGTCGAGTAAAGACCACTTGATGCTCATTTAGATCCACCCCCTTTCTTCAGCCTGCTTTGTTTACTCCAAAGAAATGGTAACACTATTAGGTTTGAACCTGCTACAGAAGCTGCAGTGAGAAAGACAATGGTCTGTTTGTCCCCCTTTCTGAGAAAATGGCAAACATAGTAAGTTGATTTGCACTTATCAAGTTAAGACGGCAATTGTAGAACATGCGCCAAGCGGGAAAATCCAAATTTTCATAATGTTAAAAATAAATCCCCATGTAGCGCAGACCAGAATCTAAACCGTTTGCCAACAAACATGCTACAAAATCAAATTTACGGACACATATTCAGTATGTGAATCACAAAAAACGTGAATATTTGATCAACATAAACAGTATTCACAACCATCAGGCATCAAACAAGGATTTAAACCTTTCTATCGACGTTCAGAAGAGCGTAATAGTCACTCCTGACAACTCCCTCATCGTTTTGGGTCCCCGCCATGTTTGTGTGCTGGCGGAAGTGACGTCACAGCCGGCTCCCAAGCTGACCGGCTCTGTATGTTTTCAGGCTGCGAATATTTCATTTAACTCTTGATGTTCGAAAGAAGATTGATACTCTAGATGTGTTCAGGGTCCTTTTGAGGGCTAGCGAATAATGCCGAAGCAGGAGTTATCAGTTATGAGTTAGATTATCTTCAAAGCACTCCGCAAACATCAATTAACGCTCAGATTCCCCTCTTAACATTTTTATCAGCGTCGCGCGGTTAACAGTGTCAGTTCTATGTTGGTTACCAAGACTTCGTGTGCGTCCGGTGTGCTTCTCATGCTTGGCTGTACCGAGCTTGACTCCCAATTCGCGTATTCTTAGAAGTGATGTGGACACGTTGCTTCCAAAATCCTCAGAACGTCCTATCTCTCTAAGGGCAATGACAATGTCTGCGTGATCCATGGGCCGGCCATCTTTAATTAATGCAGCACCTGCTAATCTATCAGCTCTCTCATTACCAACAACGCCTGTATACCCTGGGACGCATATGAAAGTAACTGCCCACACAGGAGAGTTTTACAATGACTCAAACTACTGTCTGCGTAACCAGCCATCAGGAATAGATTTTATGATGGCGGATCTCGCTGACAGTCTACAGTCAGAGTAAAGCTTACTTTGGATCTTTTCTCCAGACTATGCCGGCGTAGTGGGGAACGAACAAAGAGACGAACTGGTTGGGTCCGAACCACTAGGTGATGAATTGATACATGACAAGTCATATGTGGTCAGAGCCCTTTGGGAACATGTAACGAAGTCAGATGAGAAACTGGATTTTTATGGCCTGGAGAGAATGATGCACCTGGGTGTGATCAGAGGGTCACAGCACTCAGAGGAAAGGTGAGACTAACATATAACCTGAATACGACCGGTACCATTAGTATCTGAACTCTGCCCTAGCTGCTGAAGATGGGGACAGAGCACACATGGGAATGCCCCCAGTGTTTTGATGTCAATTCTGGACTCAACTCAAAGGAAAGGCAAACGGACATTATAATAAAACTATTACAGACCACATCTGAATGAGAACTCTTCGTATGCTGCTGAAAATGAGGAGGGGATGCTTATGAGAATGCCCGCAATTGTTGTGATGCCCCTCCCTAGGTCAACACTCGACACTCTAAACAGAAAGTGAAACAAGATATTTTAAAATATTTTCAGTCACACTGAGAGAATAACACTCTTTCAAACACTGTGCTCGAGGGATGCCGTGTGGGCACGAAAATAAACGAGTGAGAAAAAACGAGTTTTTTTTTTTCCAAGGATAAAAAATTAGGCACTTTAGTCCTTCTAAGTACTCATCTTTGATACAGTAACTGTATTTTTATCTATAAGGCAAGTTATGTTATTATCCCAATATTCCTAATACTTGTTGATTACGATCTGAGGAGAATGGCACTGCAACGATCAGGGGATCTTCCCGACGCTCAACGCTAAAGGGAAAGGCGAGACGGATGTACAATCAGACAGTTGCTTTTGCCGTCGGAATTGGAACTCTTCGCTTGCTGCTGAAGATAGGGACGCAGTCCTTATGGGAGTGTCCCGAGTGTTAATATGTCGATTGGTAATTCAACATAATACACGAATTTGATTATCAAATAAAATGCAAACGGTAGACAATGATACAGCATCTTGAGATGGAGGAATCACGACCGACTCCAGCTGACGGGCCGTGCTGCTGATGTCACCGGGTCGGGCTAACGATGCGTTAACGCAGCGGCTCTCAAACAAGAAAAAAAAAAAACTATTTTCGACAGTGGCGAGGGAAGACAACTTAAATGTTTAACTTTGAAGCATCTACATCGATTCTTTAATAATTTCACAATCTTTAGCCGACTTTTCTTGATTATTGCCGCGACAACCTTGACATACGCTTACGGCACCCTAGAGCGCCCAGGCACCCAGTTTGAGAACCTCTGCGTTAACGCGTCGTTAGCCCGACCCGGTGACGTCAGCAGCACGGCCGTCAGCTGGAGCCAGTCGTGGATAAACAGTGGTCTGTGAGAGCGTACACACAGGACAAGAGACCGAGCACGTTGGAGATCTGCTGCAACCAACCTTTACGGTGGAGACGGCGCCTGGTTGATTAAAAGCAAATGTTACTTTAACACTTTCTTTTCAAGTTGAGTTCACAATTACTATTAAAGCACTCATAACATTCCCATAAAAGCCCTGTCCACACCTTTAGCAGCCAGTTTCACTGCTGGCCCTTAGCTTGGATAAGAAAGAAGGAGGGTTGGCGGTTTGAGGCTACAGAAACTTGAAGGAAAGGGAAACCATTTCAAAAAAAGAGAATAAACAAGAGACATTTCAGTGCAGTCTCTGGTATCAACAGTTATAAGACAGAGAAGATAACTAACGCTCTACAGGAAAGATTATCAGAAAAAACAAAAACAAAGAGAGAATCACCAAAGAGGCACTGCAGGGGGAAAAGGAACAATTGAACAAACGAGAACGTGCAAGAGAAACACTGGTACTTTCTTTTTAATTAACCCCAAACTAAGAATTTTCTAAGTTTCTGGGAAAAATAAATATTCTTGGGGTGTTATGCGTTGGGTTAAGGGTTAGGATCTTAGTCTGCCCCGACCACCTCAGATACATCGAATAACCCTAATGGCATTCCATAACAACCCTAAAATTTTGGATTTTCCTAAGAACTCCGGGATTACCTTTGTTTAGGGTGAATTTAAAAAAAAATGTATCAAAACCCTACCAAGAACGTTTGTGCAAGAAAGCCACAAGTGCAGGACTGGATTCAATCCATGATTTCGAGGTGATTGCGTGGGATAGCGTGGAATGAAGGAATAGATTGTGAGCGCTATGTGATATGACACAAAGAGACAATTAATGCACGAATGATGTATTCCAGTTCCGATGCCGCAATCCAGAATCTTCACTTTTTGGAATGGAGCTTGAGGCAACCAACACTGAGGTCCGGAGAAGCTCGACGTGTCCATTCTGGGGCAGTAGAGGATGCATTATTCATCAGATCATCATCATCATCATGTGGGTGGTTTGCAGAACCACGCTCTAATCATGGTACGCCGAAAAGCTGTTTGGTTTCTTAGCATATTCCCGTAGACAGACAACAGACACAGATAGACAGACAGACACAAACAGATATACATACATACAGATTGACTGATAGATTTCTTTGAACTTCTCTTTGCGAATATTTCTTTCTTTCTTTTTTTTAAAAATTTTTTTTCTTTCTTCATTCTTGGTGTTTTAATTTCTTTCCTTAAAACGACCCAGAGTTGCTGCCTAATTAAAAGTATATCATAATGCAGTTTTTAAAAAAAAGTGGGAAAAAAAAGTTTGAAAACCTTCTTACTTATTAGAAGCACCACTTCCGCCGGGCAACAACGTGATACACCGTTATGAAAATGACTGTCGGTCTGCTTTTCAATCTCAGAAGGAATAATTTACTTTTTGGGCATTTCAATCCGGTAAGTTTAGGCGCACAGTGAGGTGACCTAGGGACAGAGTTACAATAAAGCACAAAATTTAATCAAACTGCAGCACACGGCGAGTATAATCTTGATTGGCATCAGTAAAACGGTGAGGGGGGTGAGTGTCAGGGAGAATGAAGATGTCAGAAAGGTAATACGGTTTCCAAATATATGGAAAACATACTGGCAGTGGAAATTTAGTTTTTGAGAAGAATGTAAAGAATACTGTGAAATGAATAAAAACTTACTAGTCAGTTCTCCTAGGGACAGATGAAAACTTGTAAACTGATTCAAGAGCTAACAAACTAAATTTATTTGATAAAGGGTCAATAATTCTGGCACACAGAGCTGTCTAAGATTTATTCCTTCAAGTCCCTCAACATTCACAAAAATTTATATTTTATCTATTCTTCTTTTTCTGCGTTCGACATCAGTCATGCTACACATTGAGTCCCGTCTGGGTCAAAAATAGGATTGTGCGTTTAAGGTCGCCACCGGTCCCCCATAGCTTCTCTCGCAATGTGGATCCCCTGGGCCAGATCCACAGTCTTTGCTGGGAGAGGTTGGGGCAGTACTGCAGTATGTGCTCAGGGGCTGTCTTTCTGCTTCACAATCACAGGCAGCAGATTCTTTTATGCCTATCCAGTGCAGGTGTGCTCGAAGACCACAGTGTCCAGTCCGAAGTCTAAAAATTGATGTTTTTTCATTTAGTAATATAATGAGTGTTAAGGGAAAACTTACAACGGGGCTTGACAAGCAGTGAGATTCAGGTGTACTTACACACTTAGATACTACATGCGAGCAAACGTACACGCGCGCACACACTTAGATCTACATAATCAATATGTTTTAGACATGGGAAGGAAAAGTTTCAAACACTGTATAAAGACTGATGAAAAACGAGCAAGGAGAGGACACGAGAAGGATAAGGAGGGTGACTATGAAGAGGAGGGTGAGGGAAAGGAGAAAAAGAAGAAGAAGAAGAGTAGAAATAATAAAAATAATAATAATGAACGAACTCTGACAAAGAAGAATATATGTGGTTCTGACTGGAGAGAACCAGCTTTCACTGCTGTCTCCAGTGATCTGCCAAAAGTCTGTCTGTCATGATGTCTGTATGACACCCATAATCTGCAACATAAGACAATCTTCAAAGTCTCCTATAACACTACAGACAATTGAGACAATCTTTAAACACCAATTGACAAGCATGCCAGATTTCACTGCAATTTCACGACCAATCACATCTCATTTTCCTCATACCAAAACTCCGAAATTTCTGATCTCATGAGTTTCCCACAACTTTAGAAACAAACAGGCAATAGAATAGAGAATTATCTAGGCCAGTGTTGCCACTTTGGATGTTTTACATCCAGATTTATATGTTTTTTCTTTGCATTTAGATGGCGTTTCTGACGTTTCGATGGTAGCTGTTTGTCTAGATGTTTTTCATTTGGAGTGAATTTATCAAATCTAACCTAAGAAACAGGATTAAATTGGACCTTT